TCGATCACCGTCGGTGTATTGACCCTCCTCTTCTCTCCTCAGAGAAAGAGAGAAGCAGTCGAGGCGAGCGAGGTTGCAGGTGGGGGTGGCTCAGTCGCGGAGTTGTGGCTGGAAATAATGGCGAGGCTGGAGGCGACAGACACGAGGTGCGTAGGTCGCGCAAGCTGGTTGGTTGAGCGCACAGGGCAGATCCACGTCTAGCTGTCGTGTAAGCCGACGGAGTGCTCGACGATGTGGGAAAGCCTGTGCCATAACGGAGAAATTCAAGGCCAATGCCTCTAGAAGCTCCTTGCACCAGTGAAACACCACTTTCCCACTTCAATGCAGATGTACAGAAAAGAAGATCTCATATACGGTGTTGCCATGTAACCGTGATGGAAGAGGAGTAGTTCGGTTATGGAATTTGTGGCAGCGGAGTGAAGGTATGTGTAGAGGTCCGGCATGACCCCCTAAACTGTCCCGACATTGATTCCGGTTAGCATCTCCCTCGGTCCGGTGTGACCTCGTCAACTGTCCAGATTTTATCTGCTACAACGGTCTGCCACAACCATCCAGTGTCCTCTACAACATTATGACACAACCATCCAGTGTCCTCTACAACGTTATGACACAACCATCCAGTGTCTTCACCACCGGTCTGACACGCCCATACAATGTCTCCTATCCTCTTTTCTTTTATGTATTCGTCTATTTTCTTATTTTGTTACTCTCTCCAAACTCACGTTGATTAGTTCCTATCCCCCTTGAGTTTGCGGGGGGTTGTTATAACCTACCATCACCTACTCCACCTACCACCACCTACTATCATCTACTACACACCTACCACTACCACCTACTACCACCTACTCCACTACATCTCCTATATAAGGAGCCCCTCACCATTTGTAATAGATAACATACATACAATCAATAATACATCAATTTTAACATAGTATCAGAGCCAAGCCATGTCTGGCTTTCTCAAAGGCAAGAAACTTTGGCGTATCATTACTGGGGATGTATGCAAACCAGTCCCAGCAACCACGGAATCCGCTGCCACGGACTCCGCTGCCAAATATATCGATCGACTAGAAGATTGGGATAGTAAAAACTATCAGATCATCACCTGGCTTCGCAATACTTCTATTACATCCATCAGCCTTCAGTTTGGTAGGTTCCAACTTGAGTCTGCTTCCTCTCCAGCCAAGGCCATCTGGGATTTTTTGCAAGAACGCTATCAGATTACTGGTCTTGCTCACCAATATCAGCTTCTGAGTCATCTTCACCGTATGTGCCAAGAAAACACTCAGACCATTAATGATTTCCTCTCCCAAATGTATTATGTTTGGGATCAACTCGCTCTTTCTGAGCCTCCATGGCCTCATACTGAGGATGCTGCCTTGTTTACTATCTACCGTGACCAACAGCGCTTGGTTCAGTTTCTCATGGCTCTCACTCCTCGTTTTGAGCCCGTCTGCGCATCTCTCCTACATCGCACTCCTTTACCCACTCTTGAGCAAGTCGTTTCTGAACTCCTGTCCGAGAAAACCAGGTTTGGTACTCTCCATCCACACCCTGTGGACTCTGTTCTTGCTACTCCCTAGATTCGGAGTTCTCCTTCACCACAGCGGTCCACTACCTGCAATTATTGTCACAATCGCAATCTTTCATCGACTCATCTTCTGGTTCATTGTCCCGTTCGTCTTTGTCGATTTTGCAACAAGACTGGCCCCGGTCATCTCCAACAAGATTGCTTCCGCAATCCTACCCGTACCTCTCGCCATGGTCCTTCCACCGGGAATTTTTCCCGCAGCAACTCTCACCGTTCTGGGACTCCATTTAAAAACATGCCTGCTCCACGCACTGCTGCTGCCGCCTCCGAAGATTCACCTTCTTCTGTCCCTGTAGATCCTTCCACTCCGGTCTTTTCTCATACCGATGGTGAAGCCATGTTTCAACATTTTTGGCAGCATTCTGGTACTCCTCCATCTACTGCTTTGTCTACCACCGCAGGTAACACTTCCTGGTACTTTGACTCCGCTTGTTGTAATCACATGACCTTTGATCCTACTATTTTTACTCATCTCTCTTCGACTCCTCATGTTCCTTCTATCCATACTGCTGATGGTTCTCTTCTGTCTGTAAGTCATGTTGGGTCTGTTTTCACCTCTCACTTATCTTTATCCCATGTATATCTTATGCCTGCTCTCACTTTAAATCTTATCTCCATTAGTCAATTATGTGAGCATGGTCTAACTGTTACTTTTTCCCATATTGGTTGTTTGGTGCAGGACCCTTGGACCAGGCAAACTCTTGGGATAGGCCGTAAGCAAGGACGTCTCTACGAACTTATCCATCTTCATGTTCTGGATTCCTCTCAAATCACTGCTCCTACCACTGCTACCACTGCTCCTCCTTTATCTCATTTTCAGCTTTGGCACTATCGTTTGGGCCATCTTTCTGTTGGTCGTTTGAAGTCTTTAATTTCTAGTGGTCATTTGGGTACTGTAAGTTCTGATGCTTTCAATTGTGTGTTCTGTCAACTTGCAAAACAACCTGCTTTGTCGTTTAATAAAAGTGATTCTGTTTCTCTTGCGCCCTTTGATCTCATTCATTCTAATATTTGGGGACCCTCTCCTACTCCTACTATGGGAGGCGCACGTTATTTTGTTGTTTTTATAAATGATTTTTCTCGTTTTACATGGTTGTTTCTTATGAAAAATCGCTCTGAACTCAAACAACTTTATTACAATTTTGCTGCAATGGTTAAAACCCAATTTTTTAAAACTATCAAGATTTTTCGCTCCGACAATGCCATGGAATATAAAGATTTTGACTTTCTTTCCTTCCTTAGGAGTCATGGTACTCAACCTCATCGTTCCTGTCCAGGTACGTCCCAACAAAATGGCCGTGCTGAACGAAAACATCGGCATCTACTTGACACTACTCGAGCCCTCCTTCTCTCTTCCTCTTGTCCAGAAAATTTTTGGGGTGAAGCCGCTCTCACTGCTGCTTACACTATCAATTGTATCCCTACACCGGTCATTCATAATCACACTCCATATGAGCGTTTACATGGCACCCGTCCCCCTTACGACACCCTTAGGGTTTTTGGCTCTGCCTGTTTTGTTCTTCTCCAACCTCATGAACGTACCAAACTTGAACCTCGTTCTCGCCTTTGTTGCTTCTTGGGGTATGGTATTGAACATAAAGGGTATCGCTGTTGGGATCCTCTCTCCCAGTGTCTCCGTATCTCTCGTCATGTGGTCTTTTGGGAACACACAATGTTTTCCTCCCTCTCTCAATTCCGTTTATCCGTTCCCTCACCCTCTCTGTGTTTTACTAACCCTTCTGCAGATCTGTTTTCTGATGAGCTTCCTCCACTGCCCATGCCTGACTCTCTTGAGACTGCCTTGCCTACTGGTCTTTCTCAAGCACCTGCCAGCTCTGATGGTCCTGATCTTGCTCCCTCGGACTCCTCACCCCCTGTATATTTCCTTTGTTTATCATTTTGTCTTGTAAAACATCTCCTATATAATGGAGGTTCCATTTGGTTGCAATACACATCAAAAACATAGAGCTAATATTTGCTCTCTCATTCTCTCTCAATTTCTAATAAGAGTTAATATATTGTGCCAAGTTGATTACTGTGCAAAGACTGGTTTATTTTATTCCTTTCATTTTCACAGAACATTTTTGTGGAAATGAATGCACAAGGTTTCTGAATAATGTTTCTATTTGCTTTCAAAGATACAAGTGTGTAAGCATTGGTTATAAGAACACTGTTTCTAGAGGATCATGTGCTCAACTATTATATAAGAACACTGTTTCTATTCATTTGACATTATGATTGATAAAATCTAATGTAGAGAATGTGCTTTTGTGGATTCAGTCAAAAAGATGTGACAAATTGTAAGGTTCTTTGAACCATAATTAAATGTAATGTGTCAATTGGTATTCCTGGTTGCACATATCCCTTGACTGCATGAAGTTGTGTTGCTACATTCATTGCTGGACCTCATTATTTTGGACTGATACCTTGCAGGTGGTAGAGGATGATTTAGTTGCAGCCAGGCAAGCAGATCGGAGTCTAGGCAGCCAAGATTTCAGCAGGTTAGTTGCCCGTATATATGTGTTTGTGTGTGGATTACCCGATTCATCATAGTTTTCATAATAGTTGGTTTTATTTTTTGCATGCAGATGGCTGACAATGGGCCGTTTAATGTCTGTGAGTTTTGGTGAAACCAGACTCTCATTGGAACACTGGCAAATGGTTAAGGAACTTGAGAGGCTAAGAACGGAGAGGCTCCAGTTAAAGATCAATTGATCAAAAATTGGCAGGGAAGAGAAAAAAAAAAAAGGGTCTTGTAAATGATGTAAACTGTATGCCATAGATGTTTTTCTTACTAAAAATGTCCCTTGGTTCTGAAAAAATTGCTGCTGTAAGAATGGTTTCTTCTGAATTGCCATGTTTTGCCATTCCAGTTTTCTTTGTTCCTCCACACTTGCAGGTTTCAAATTGTATGTGTAAAAGCGATGGAATCAAGGGCATAGATGTTACTCCCATCTTAAAATTGAAAACCATGCTCGAGTAAGCTCTTTTGTCATTGCTCACTCTTTTAAAGCTCTTGTTCAGTTTATAAATCACATTGTGTCCTAATGGTTCAAAGTTGTAGCTGCGATTATGATGACTTGGCTGTCACCTCTAATTCGATATCACAATACAATACCAAGTATTAAGCTACGGTATTGGGCCATATTGACCAATATGCATTTACCTTGGGAATAATAGGTTTTTTTAGTTGTTGAATATTATTAGATAAATTTTTTTTAGTGTTTGGAAAGATAGTTAAATTTTTTTATGGTTAGATATGATGTTTGTGAGAAAAAAAATAAAATAATTATGACGTTAGATGTGATATTTTGTCTGGATTTGTTTTTTTTGATTTTGTAAAACCTTTGTCTTATAGTGGAAAAAATCAAAAAACAAAAAATATGGGAACCAAATTCCCAAACATATAGCCCAAAAGGTTGTGTTGACACTTCCAATTTCTAGTTAGAATTGAGCATTAGGTTTCAAATCCTTTGCTACTAAATTCTGTGGCTAGGCATACCAAACACCTTATTCAAATCCATCCTCAGCAAGACAATTTATGCATACAGGGAACTAGTGCCCTTTTGTCTATCCCATCACCTTTGCATTCCAAAATAAATAATCATTCATAAAACAGTTTGTATTTCCATTCTTTGCGTGTCTTCTGTTTCTTCTTTGCCTTTTATTCTTCATTAGAAATGAAGCAAAATACTTAATCAGAGGGGAAAGTGGCTCCACAGTCAGGCTTCTCGTGCCATAAAGCGCACTGGGGAGTTTGTCTCTAGACTTATGCTTAATGAATTTTAAGACAAATCTCAGCATCATTCTCAAGTTCCACGGAGGGCGCGGACCCTGTCCTGAATCAATTTCCTTTCCCAATTTGATATGCCCTCGAAAGCATGTCCCGGAAGATTCTCAAAGGGCTCCTTCCAAGGATCATTCTCAGCCAAATCATAAGTAGCTCCACGGATTGCACTTTTATTGGGTCCACAAGGTCTCTTTGAAGTAAGCCTATTATATGCCGTGTTCAGCTGTCACAATAAAAAACCAGCCTTAACTAAAATAATATATATATATATATATATATATTTATCAGGAATTTAGAACAAGGATTTTTTTTTTTTTTTTAGATAGGGAACAAGGGATTAAGCAGTGAAATAATCACTAAATAACTAAAAAAAGTCATGCTGTACAATGCAAATCAGTTTAAACTTCATTCCAATTACCAGAAGAAGCAAAAGAAAAATAGTGAAACATATCAGCAAATTGATGGAAAACATAAATCAAGCTGGGATAGCATATTGAAGAGTTGAGAGCTTACATCTATGTCACAAAACCAAAACATGTAAGCAATTGCAACAGCAGGAGCTCTCCCCAATCCAGCTGTACAGTGCACATACACTTTTCCTTTTCCCTCTGAAATGGCCCATTCCAAAGATGAAACAGCTTTAGGTAATCCACTTCTCAAGGAATCTGGGTCAAAATCTCTTGCCTTCCAATGCATAACATAAAGATGTTAAGTCAAGTGCCCAAAAGCACCAAAAAGCCTCTCTCTCTCTCTCTCTCTCTATATATATATATATATATATATTATATTCAACTTGGTGTGTACATAATCTAAACACATGCTTTTAGAGAAATGAAAGGTAGAAGAGAAAGTCAAAAAGATATGGAGGTAAGGTTTACAGTTGGGTAGGTATTTATCTAATGGAAAAAGGTTGGGGCCCCCTTTTTGGAGGACCCCCACCATCCTCAATGCATTAAGGTTGGAACCCCCTTTTTGGGGAACCCCCTTTTTGGGGAACCCCCACCATCCTCAATGCATTATGATTGGCCAACCTTTTGCTTTTTTGTTTTTCGTTTTTTTTCCCTCCTATCTCTAGCTGACATGTGTCTGTAGGGGATTGTGGGGGTCAAAACAAAAGGGGGCCTGTATCATTTCTGTTATCTAATGAGCAAGGTTTGGGGTGTTTTGGCCAGTGATAGGTTGTGGTGGCAGGCAACATGGACAGATTTGTAATGAAAAGTATAGAGTAAGAACAAGAGAGGGAGGGGAGGGAGAAGTTCAAATGGGTAATTTTGTCTTTTTCCATTTTCCATTAAAGACATTCACATTTTCAGTTTAGTTATGAGAGCAGAGGTGCAAGTGTAGGTTTTATAAGGGCAAGGGGGGTACACGTCTTTGGGCAAACTACAAGGGGTAAAATGATTTTTCACCAATTTTGAAATAAGTAATGTGATTTTTCACCACATTGGTGTTGGACATTTTTCATGTCAAGAAGTTTCAACATACCAATTATCATCATATGTAGAAGTGATTTCCCAACATTAACAATTTATAAGCAAATAAAACTAACTTATTTGCAAAATCATTAGTATTGAAGGTGACTTGCTTACCGGCCTTCTCATGTGACGAATTTCAAGGTCTTGACATCTTTTTATTATAGACTTCAAGTCTATTCCCCAATACTCAATGTCTCTGTCCTGCTGCAAGTTAAGGATGTAGGCAACATCTTCTTCCTTTTTCAGATGATCTATGTCTTCAGGTTTCTGAGGTTGGGAGCCCACAATCAGCTTATCAGTTATCAATGTGTAGTTCATACCTGAGTCATGATGAGATTAATTAGACCACTAAAGAGACCTTAAAATACATCACAGATACTTTCCATATATAAAATGGGTAAATAACTTGGGTAGTATTTGGTTCGCTAAAATGATTTTGAACATAAATGAAAATGGCCATTCCTTGTCCTCAGTTAAAAATAGTCAATTCTCGTAAATTGTGATTGATGATTGCATTTGGAATACACAGAATGTCCATTCCATTCGAGCCTTTATTTCTAGACACTGTTTTAGTTTTGTTCATGATGGAATTAAAACAATCTCAGAAATATAAATTGGGTATGAAAATGTTGATAATCTGAAACCAGATGAAGCTTAGAATGACAAAGCAAAAACAATTAAAATTAGTAAATGGTATAGATCTAATACATGTAACTAAGATGAATCAAAGTAAGTGAACATGAATCTGAATAGATTATTCAAGAAATTCACCTCATACCACAAAAATGACAAAAACCCAAAATCAATTTGGACTGGAGAAGTGAAACCCAGTTGGTAAATCAAATTCACCATCGCAATAAAAACAAATAAATAGAATTGAAGATATAAAAAATAAAAAAGAACAAATTTAGAGGGTGAGAAAGAAACAGACCAAGATCGTGGTGATACTCATAAGGGTTTCTCATCATCTTCTTCATAGCAATGTTGTACTCTTCCATTTTGGTTGTGGGATTTTCAGATAACATACATGAAACTTTACTAGATCTAGAGGGAGTCTTAGAAGAAACCATGATGGTATTGGACATAGATTTCATGGTAGCATTGCGCACATCGTTTGGAAGTGGAGAAGGGAAGATTGATGGAGAAACGAAGCTGCTGCCAACAGTTGCCATTTTCTCCTCTGCATTTTTGTGTGGCAGAATATGTACTTGGGATATTTGACCAGATTGCCCTTTGGAATTACTCACTTTTCCATTATCTTTTGGTACACAATTTCTATTTTTTATGCGATGATTCTATTTACCTACATCAATCACGCAATACATACAATTACTTATTTCACATTAATAATATTTTAAAATTTTAATTTTTTACTCAATGTAGGTCATAATATTATTTTTTTAGCTTAATCTACACAACACAATATATACCATAACACAAGATGATATACACACCATTAAAGTTGAAAAGAGAATAATGTCCAAATTACAATTCATGGTAATTTTATATTGTTGTGTGTGTATGTGTCTCTCTCTCCCTGATTTGTGTTGAATCTATGGAAGTAACGTGAGAACAAATGGCGAGAACCAAACGGTGGATTGAAATTTTATAGCGACAAAACAATCGGTGTGGTATTCTACAAAAAATTAAATAAAAAAAAGTTTTCATATTGTTTATATTCGCAAATTTATATTCAAATTAAACCAAAATATTTAATTTTTTTTAATGCATGAACATTTAATACTTGCTCAACTTTAATAATATGAACAAAATGATTATGTTCAAATATAAATAATTGAACATTTTGTAAATGTACAACTTTGCATGCGTAAGAAACGAATAAGTCATTGTTGTAAAGACGAACTAGCGGTCTTTTGTTTCAAATTAATACGAACAAGATAAATAACAAAATAAACTGACATTTTTATTGCTGTTTTGTTCCAAATCAATGTCATCCATAGTATGTAAATTTTTAAAATCAATTAATTTCAATGTTTTAAAACCCTAAATCTTCCAAAATAATAATATTTTGAGGTTGAAAAATAATAGAAAAAAAAAATTGTGCTAAGGAATGGTGTGTATAGAGATATTTATATTTTCGTATGTAAATTGTTGAAATGAGTATACACATACCTATATCCATATTGCCCTTAATAGTCATTTTACTTGAGAATATTATTGTCATAAATTTAATTGTTAAATAGTATGTATTGAAAGGATTGATGGTGTGTGTGTGAGTGATTTTCCGATCACACTACCCAACTCAGTATTCAGCTGGAAAGTACTGGTAAAATAGATGACACCTGGTCGACCTGCAACAGAAAGAGAAGATTCCGGCTGTGGTTCTTCCACCCGGGGGCACTTCGACAATCAAGTCAGTATATCTCTCAAAGATAATCGATAGTGCTAAACTTATTGTACTGAATATAAATTGCGTACCTTAGACCCATGGGGGTGCCTTTCTTTTATAGTTAACTCAACCTTGTCCTATTAGAAGCCTAGCTTTAATGGACTCTTGCTCAGTGCTTATCCTGGACTTTCTAAGAGATAAAGATATACTCCCTAAAAGTGTTATCCTTATCCATGCTGAAGTCCTTCATCATTCTAGGACTCTTGTCCCTTATCCGTTTATCTCGGATTCCGATATCCTCAGAGATAACCTCGGTCTTGCCGAGATTACCTCGGCGTTATGACCTGGACATGTGGCACCTCGGCTGACACGTCGGCGTCACCTTGGCCACGTGTTGGGACTCAGAAAATATATTCCCACAACTGCCTCCTAGGTTCTATTACCTCAGCATCCTGAGGTGATGGAACTTATATCGGTACTTCTTGTCAGTACATCGGCATAAGCTGAGATCATTATCATAGGCCGTCATGTCTTCTTAAAGATCAAGATTTCCAAGAACTTCTTCACGTGCATGAGCTGTCATGCATAACAACTCAACTGTTTTTAGCCATGAGTCTTTTTCTTACTGGATCGTACCTAATACGCGTCTATAAATCGAATCTTCCTCACGTGCGCCGTTTGGAGCATACATTCTTCTAGGCACATTTATGACCCTTTTGCCGCCGTTTCTGTTTTATCAAAACTTTCTTTCTTTCCCCCGTTTTTCACTTTTCATTGTTTCTGAAGTTCTCTCTCTCTCTAGCTTTCCATCTCCTCAATTGTTCAAGCTTTCTGAGCTCTGTAACTTGCTCCGTTTACCATATCCGGCGTGACTTCCACCGATCCTCTGCCTCTGCAACCGTTGTCAGACTTCGGCAAATCCCATCCCGGCTTCCCTTTTTCTGGTAAGCCACCATTTTTCTTGGCTCCTATTTCTTGTTGCTTTTCAAGAAATTCCTCTTCATTATTAGTCGCCATTGCTGTTTTACTCAAGTTTTTAATTGATGAATCTTGTATCTGAATACGTTTATTTCATAACCTTGCTTTCTGCCCATGTCTTGAGTTATACGCACTATTCACAATTTTTCTGCACTATTCTTGGTCTCATATCCTTCGTATTTACAATGTTCTTGATAGTCCATCTCTGTTCTTAATTCTGAAGCACAATCTTGCTTTTCTGTTTTCCAGATTTCGCGCCTTCAATCTTTGTGTTCATAGATCTATGTTTGGGATTCGCTTGTAGAACCCTCGATTTTTTAGGAAAAACTAAAACTATTCCCACACATTCTGTGTATCTTCCAGCTTTAGCCGAGGTCCACAAAGACCCTTTAGAGATACCCCTTTCGAAATCCAACCTTTTTAGTTTAAGCCGATATCATGGGTATGTGGAAACATAGAATAGACACCCTGACAAAACTAGAATTCTTTAGGCGAGAGTTTTCCATCCCTGCCGACGTCAATCTGAGGTTGGCTTGGGATGACGACTCCATCACGCCCACTACTGATTCCATGCCCTTTCTTGTCGTAGCCTTTATTGAGTACGGACTTCGGCTTCCACTCAATATCCTTTTCCGCGAGGTAATCCACTGTTATAAGTTGAACCCAATGCAACTTGCCATCAACTCCTACCGCGTTATTAACGGTATCATAGCCCTAGCTAAACAAGAAAACACTAGGATCACCTTAGCCGACATCCAGTACTGCTACACCATGTGTGGCCTCAAAAGAGATACGGGCTATGTTTACTACCTCAAGCCAAGATCTATAGAGTACAAAATCGTAGCCGACCTCCCAGACTCCAACAAGGGAGTTGGAGATGACTGCTTTATTACCTCGAGGAACTAGGAGTTCGTTCTAGATGAGGACCTCCATCTTTATCCTTTTTCTCGAACCGTTTTTGTAGAGGGCAATGGTAAGAGCCCTGCGTCCACACTTATTTGTTTTTTCAAAAATTTCAAAGTCTTTAATATTTTATCTGTTACTAACGTCGGTTTTGCTTGCAGCTCTTCCTCAGCCACCAAAGGGTTTCCATCAGTCTTTCTTTCCCAGCAAAGACTTGAGGAGACTTTTGGATCTGCCAGTTCTCAAGCGGAAAGCCCCTCTGCTTCTCAACTTTATCCCACTTATAAGTCTGCTCTTCCCGACGTCCCAAAAAATGAGCAGAAAAGCCTTTCTCCACCTTTTACCACAACACCACAAGGCGAGTCCATATCTCGGACAGATCAAGGATCAACCTCTGATCCTGCCGAGCAGCCGTCAACCTCGGCTCCATACTTGATCCCGATATCCCAGCGCCAACGTCGGCGATGAACAGTTTTTGCTGCAGAAATGGGCCGCCAAAAAAATAGTTGCCAAAGATCTCTTGGCCAGCATCCCATCATCCATTGACGCTTCACCAGCACAGTCTCAGCCCCCTGTTAAACCGAAAAGAATAAAGAAGGCACAACCAAAGGCGAAGGTGACTCAGGTTAACACTGAGGACACGTTGCCGATCTCCAAACTAGCTGAAAGTGACAAGTCCCAGCCTACCACGGAGAAGAGACGTGCCGAGGCCCAACCATCCGATTTTCCGAAATCAAAGAGGCCGAGGTCATCCTCTGCTACCACCTCGGGGTTCAAAAAACATGATGCCCCTTGGACCCCAAAAATCACTCTAGAGGACAAGCCAGTTATGGCCAATGATAGTGCCGATGACATCAACGTCGGCGTAGCCCTCAGTACCGCTCTGCTTCTACCCGGCGATCTTAACCGAAATGCCAAGTTAAGTGAGTATGAAAACTACGCTCTGATGCTTCAACGCTCTATTCAAGTAAGTGTCTTTATCTGGCTACTTTTTCTTTCTTTTTTGTTCATTCCATACTTGTAAATTTTTCTAACAACTTCTTTTCTGTTTTACTTTTAGGCTATCCAACATGCCCATTCTTTCTCAATACAATCTTTTGAGAACCAGGAGAAGCTAGCCGAAATGAAGAGGGAGGTCTCCAGTCTTCAAAAGACCAACAAAAGTTTGCAATAAAAAATGAAAAAGTTGGAGGACTAGGCCGAGGCTGCCATCAAGGCCCAAAACGATGCCGAAGAAAAGGCGGACTCTACTGAGGCCATCAAAAAGGTGCTTGAGGCCAAAAAAAAGGATGCCGAGGAGAAAATGGCCCAGGCCGAAAAAGAACTGCAAGACGCTCTGGCCACCAAAGAATCCGAAGTCAAGGCAGCCGATGAAAAGGGCTACAACGAGGGGGTGGCTGACGTCACAGCGGACTACGAAAAGTAGGTGAAGCAGGCATGCAACAGGGGTTTGACCCTTGGCTGGATGACCTTGCTGAAAAGGCTTGATGTCCCCGAGGACTCCCTCCTCAGGAATGCTGATGTCCTTCCTCTGCCATTTCCCCCAACTCCAAGCCAACCCGCCGACGACGACTTTGAGTCCGAGGAGGAGGGTTTGGTAAGGAAGCCCAAGGAAGCTGCTGGGGCCAAGTCACTTACTCAAAATGAGCAAGTCCTGGACTTGACTCAGGATGAGGAGGATGAGGAAGTCCCCAAGGATGCCACTCCAGAGAAGGCGTCATCGGACGCGCCTCCTGCCGATAAGAGCATAGATGAGACCCTTCAAGAAATTGATGCTGAACTTGCGGTCGAGAAGGTTGCCGAGATGTCTTCTCAGCAGTCATCCGAGGTCCAAACCCAGCCTGCTGCTGAAGACTCTTGATTTTATGTTTTTCTCTTTCTATTATGCTTTGTACTTTTTTTTTCTGGAATAATTGTAGGCTTTAGCCGATATGTCAACTCTTTTAATATAACTCTCTT